ATTAGTTGTTCACAAGGATCTAAGTCTTCAACGAAAACAAAAGAAAAAGCCCAGGAAAGCAGTTGGAGATTATAACTCTTACCATTTGGGATCCAAGATGCAATGACACAAGCACTAACACATTCATCTTGAATCTAAAGATATCATGAACTATCTTCTCAAATCATGTTCGTCATCCAATGATGTATTGCAAAAGAATCACATTAAAGCAGTGACTTGGAAACTGTTGGAAGAAAATCTAGCATCAGTCACAACTTCCAAATTATAAGAAACTTCATTCCACCTTCTATGTTTCACAATTTGACAAAGTGAAAAACAAACCTCTATAAACACCATGCCCAAAACTTAAGCCCATGCAGCATGCCTGTAGTTTTTTGATTTTGCTGGTACTTTTTATAAATAAGGTATTCAATTCACATACACAAAGGATTAAAGTGCTTGTAGGTACCATGCCACATTATGTGTCCTGAATCTAGAGCATTGATCTGTTTCAGAAAACAAAATCTTCATCTCTAGAAATATTTTACTTTCAAAATGATCTCTTATATGGGTAGCATGTATGATTTCTGATTTCTGATTTCTCATGATCTCACTCATCACAAATCAATAATAATTATAGCATGACCCATGACAATCAAATTTCACATGCAGGTTTCACAATCATTTTCTTCCATCATCTTTCAGTTACTTCCTGTGAGACACTTAATACATTTTTCATAATCCCAATTTAACAAAAAAGTTTAGATCAATATGATTATAAAGTGCATGATAAAACCAAAACGTCTGATGAGAACTCAAAAGGGTTCATAAAAAATGAACAGGCAATTGCTAGAGCTACCACTGACAAACTTGCCACTCTTGAATACTCCTTTCAGTAATATTTTTCTATTGACTAGAAAACTAGCTAACTACTTTTGTTTGAATAATCTTTTCCTTTTCTACCATGTTCTTGGAATTCTTGAAAATTTATTGGCCAAATAACTTGAAAACCATTACAAATAAACAACCTAACCATTTCTGCCAAAGCCAAAAAATTTCCAACTCAATAAGTGCCTACTGTTCTTATGAAAGAATTGCACAGAGATTTTGAGCTTTTACACCTTCAAGAAAACAAAACATCAGAAGAGGATGTGCTATTTACCAATGGGCCTTTAATGTGATTATGATTCTAACAGATCCACCCAAATAGCCGTCATTCTCCATAGATGTTTGTATGTCAAGTTTGTTTACCTTGACAAAAAAACATTTGCAAAGTGGAAGCTAAAAGCTAAAAGCTGTTGTCAAAGAAAAATAATGGGACTGTGAATGGAAATTTGATCTGCAAAATTAAGCTGCATGTATTCACGACATTCAACAAATCAAGGCAATATTTAAGCTGAAAAAATGTAAAAATAAGTATAGATTGTATACATTTAGCTGCTCAATGAAAATTTACATATTAAACAGCAATGAGAATTTCTAGTGTGATTTTGATTAAAAAAAATAAACAAAAAGAAGAAGAAATTTTACTGCCCAAAACAACCCTCAATAAAATTCATAATCATGCAAACTCAATGCTTTTGAAGCATTACCTGTTGCTTGAGGTCATAAGGGTCAGCTCCTTTCTCTTTCATGTCTGCTATTTTTGCAGCTTCCCTCTCAACCTCTTTCTCATAAGAGTGCAGCTCCTTAACAATACGTTTGCAAGATGCTGTCTTGATCTTCAAATTTCTAATCGTGGCCATGGTAACCTATCAAAACAAACATTTCCCTCTTGATTAACTGACACAATAAGAACCAATGGAAATAAATTACTACTAAAATAATCTGTAACATGTTGAATTGAATTCAGACATATCGCATTCTTAGCATTCAAATTTCTACTCGTTGATACTAATCAACAATGTATCAAAGACAAACATTCATGAAACTACAAGAAGCCTTCGGGTTTTCAAGATGTAAAGTGCTTACAAACATTTCCAAATCAAACCGATGCATTTATAAAACACAAGGATAATCCTGAGAAAAGCAACCCAAAAAAAAAAAAAAAAAACAGAGAGACTATATTTATCTTTTCCGTACGTTTCTAGGTAATCAAACAGAGTGTTAGGGTTATTCGTGGAGCAAGAGATTTGGGACATATGCGAATTAATTGGGAATAAAAATGGATTTGATCGAAAGATATATAACGATCTCATTTGCTGAGATTAAAACAAAAAGGGGAAATTAACATATAAACAGAGATTGAGAGAATGTGTTTGTATACCTTTTGATCGGAGAGAACTTCGCTGGTGTGAGTGAGGAACAACGACGAACCTCAGTACACAGTGGCGAGTGGATACTGCTACCTTTCTTTCTGACTCCTCTTTTTTTTTTTTTTTCTGAACGGATTACATTGGGGGTGGGGGATTCCAACCCCAGCCCTTCCACCTTACAGTGAGTAGTCAACCGGCCGAGTCCTCAAAGATGGTAACGTATAGAATGTATGACAATCTACTCTCTAAAGAACCATCGCGCCACTCCTTTGAGAGAGAATCATTAGGTTCTTGAGACAAGTCCTATTAACCAAAGAGAATTCCGCATGCAACACCAGGCCCTGAGGCAATTTTTATCTTTTCCATCAAACTTCTATCAGTGAGATGGACTACAGAACTTCGAAGAGCAAAAACCAGGAAAGTCACATAGGGAAGAATAATTGAAAAGAAAAATGACGATACTCTTCAGTTTAACAAGCTATTTAATACTCATTTAATTTAATTATTAAAATATAATATAAATATAATTTATTTAACAAATTCTCATGTATATGTAGTTATATTTTTAAATTTATTTATTTTTAATTTTATATAAAAAATAATATTTTTTTAATAAATATATTATACAATATATTTAACTTGAGGTTGCACCAATTTGTGTTCTTTTGAAAAACCTAGATCCTATGCTCATAAGGTTAGCTATGCTAACCAAACCACTAGTTTTGTGAGAGGAACTACATATCGTAACCTTGTAATTACCATATCATAAGAGAATTAATAAAAAATAATTATTACTTTTAAAGTAAGGTGTATGAATTACTTAAAAGAATTATTGAGATAAGGGATGGTTTAATGAAAACACCAATTTAAAGCATGTACAGTGGAGTTCTCTTC